AGGAAGAAATCTTTTATCAACAGTATAGTGCTATCGTTTGAAAAATATCATTTCGTCAATATCAGCTCTTCACACAAAAGCACACACAGAGTGAAGTTGCTTATATCGCACACTAAATACCTAAAAGTCACAACTCGAAAAATGGCAAATGTTCAGAAGGCAGAGGACGCAATTAACACAAAAGTAGACCTAACGGTGATTTAGTTAAGTAAGATAATGATGACAATGAAATTTCTTGGGTAGGTAGATAAGTGTATTACAAATTGATATATTGAAAAAAATTGAATTTTGAAAATTTATGATATATGAGAGTATTCTTATTGGTTTTTGTTTGATATATGGTTTTTTCACTTTAGAAATTTCTTTCTATCCCCGTATTTACATTATTTTATTAAAATTCCATTTTTTGGAGGGAAGACCTCTATGTCTGCTTTTGACTGTAAACCATGCTCTGGGACACCAACCATACATAATTTTTTGCAGCTGACGCTGACCGATACTTGTTAAACGTCTCCCAATGAAGTATTCAGAGAAATTCCATGCCAGTGAAGCTCATCATCGTACCCTCCATTGGCCATCAAAAAGATTCTACTGCAGTTGTTTTGATAACTGTGGCTGAGAGTTCGTCGCAGCAGTTGTCGGCGTCACATGTTACAAACTCGTAAAAAACTCACAGATACAACAACAACAAATCACCCCAATACATGGTTATGTGCTGGGGGTGGAAGCCTTTTTCTGTTAATTCCAAGTTTGGACAGCTGCAACAGTTCGCACAAACGACAACGAATCGCATCAAACAAGAAAGTGGCAATTGTGCCAAAAACGCTCACCAGACATTACACCATAAGCTGCACGCAATATCTGTGGTATGTGCATGCTCTCCCCCACTAAACCACACTCTTGTTACCACCGCCATGAATATTGTATTTGTACTGGATGGGAAGAAATGTTTAATTGGTTAACTTATTCTTAGCATATCCGATATCACGTGGATATGTACAAAATCACATTTATAAAAGTTTTTTTTATCAAAATACTTTGCTTTGGTTTCTGATGTGACGTTAAAAGCATTATCTATTTTATTATAAAGTATTGTCTAAAGGTCCTAACTAGTTTAGATTATAATTCACAATCTGTATTAATATAAATTCATTCAAAATTAATATATGCATTCTTAGTTATTTGAATACATTACCGTTGTTTTTGTTGTTACATATAATAATAAAAGATAAAACCGTCCTAAAAAAAATAAGGATAACAAAATTGTTATGGACAGCAGGATAGAAACAAATGGCGTAATTGTTTCCTTGGCGATGAAACCAAAATAAATTCGTTAGTAAATTGAACAAGCAGGAATGCCTGTCGATGTAAAGGCAAGGGTTTCATGTAGAATTTCGTTAAGATTTCTTACATATTGATCAATAGATGCGGTATAAAGTCAACCGAAGTTCCCAAATACTTATTGTATATTAGGTATATGGGAAAAAAAGGGAAACGATGTTATCCATTTATTGTGTGCAAATCTTTATATCAGTAACGTCATTGGCTCTCGATTTCGCCCATGATATAAGGATACAAACGTAATGTTACACACTAAATTTTGTTGAAATTGGGTGAGTAGTTTCTAAGATTACACCTAAAGGTGGGCGTTGCCACGTCCCTTGTTGAATTTTTACAACGCCTTCCTCTTAAGTGCCATCTTACTTGTAAAATTGTATGCTTCTGACGTAGTTATTTAGCAAGTTATCGCCCTTTAAGCGATAGCTCGTATGGTTTGTGAGATATGTACATTCAACCTATTAGGTAGCAAAGACAAACCTAATACACACTACAGAAAAACTGTGAACGTTGTATATAAAAACATAGAGGCCCGCTCCGCACGGGTATAAAATATATAGCCTATGTCACTCACTTATTCAAATTGATCCAGTAGTTTTGATTTATTCATTACTGCCCGTGGCCCGCAACGTTAAATTTGGAGTAAAACAATTCCCCTTTCCCTATGTCATGAAGATTTCCTGCTATCTTTGGAATATCTAAATTCATACACTACATTTTTATTTATATACTTTTTAAATTGTTACCCATTTATTTTATTTTTACAACAATTAATATATTACAGAATGTCTTTATATACAACGTTCACAGCTTTCTTGTCATTAGACAATACAAACATGTTTTCTCTAGAGTTTACGCTTGAAAGGGCGACATACAGTTGGCCAAGTCACAGTCAACGCTCAAATCTAAGCCTGTAACGTTGAAGGTTTGGTCCTGCAATTTATTAATGGTTATTTCAAAACATTTCTTTACCGGAAACTGTAAACGTTTAAATTGAAAGGGTAAATCCAATGGTATCAGAGGGATTCGGGGAATCAATACATCTTCTCCGGTACCACATCCTGTGAGTATTGTGCACTCTATTATGAAAGTTGTCAGTGATTTTACCAGCAAACGCGTGCCATTGCAAAGTTTAGGTTGATTCAGTTTTCTCAATAAATTAAGAGGACAACCTGCTTTCAACACCATTTTGTGCGGAGGGAGTCCTGACGGATTTAAAGAATTTAGAAATTATGTGGGAAAATGAACAGCTTCTTACAAATCGAGAACAGTATCGACCGAGTAGTATATTTTCGACGGCGAATCAATCTTTGAAAGAATCAAGTTATTCACCTTGTCTAATTGTTCATTAGTTGGTGACAGAATCGCTCTTTCTTTAAACTAAGATATAACCTTATAACTTATGTTATCAATGTCAGGATAGACATTGTTGATTACCAAAACACAAATGTTTTCTAGGTTAATCCTTCCCTCCCTTTGTATTAACTCTCCATTGCCAACTTTTAGCAGCATCTCTGGAAGTAGCCCGTCCATGTGTATTCGACACTGTTAGTTAAATCTAAGTTAGTACTATTAGCTGGCATCGGTGGCCTAAAATCCTTGATCGATTTACCCGAAAGTTATTGCACTACTTTTTTCAATTCAAATAATGCTTCGTCATATATGTTTTGATCATATTGTACATCATCTGAGTTTAAGTCTCCCCGTCGCTGAATCAGAATATCACTCATATTTTCTTGAAATTTATTTCGTAGATTAGCAGAATCAGTTACTTAACAAAACGCTACCATGACGGCAAATAAATATCTTAGTGATGTAGCTAAACTACAAACAGCTGCTTCTGATAATGTGTTTTCCCAGTGAGAATCGTCTTCCAAGAGCCCCATAGCTTTGCATGCTGCTTGATAAGTATTGTAAACAACACCTTGTACAGTTCTTAGGTGTGCGAAGGATGTCGGGCCTTTTACAATATGCAGTAACATTCTCAGATAAAAGCATTCGCTGTTGTTGGGATGAATTACGGAGTCTGCCAAGAGCATCCGTTTTTTTTTTTACTCCGGGAAAACCATCAACCACAGTGCCTTGTTTTCGCCGTTGAAAAGTTTTAGAACTCTGGTTCCATGTATGGTGACCTGAAATCCTGTCATATGTCAGTGTTTTCGCGAAATCATCTTGAGCACATAACTTAAAGAATGTTGTCAATGTTGTATCCCGCGGGTTATTAACAACTTATTGTATATTGTTCTCAGTGAAATATACTCTTTGTCCATTTTCTTAATGAACTGTAAGGTGGACAATTGTGGGAACCCGGTCGTGCACTTCGAATGATAAAATCTTCCATAAAGCTTCAGAGCTGCAGATGTAACGTCCAGACTGATATGTGGCTTAATCGCTGCCTTTATTAATGTACTTAGTAACATATTGAATTGATTTTATTGAATTGCACAACTCTACGTTGATGTGGGCATCAAAAATTTTCAAAAGGAACGGATTATAGGGAACGATCCATCGGTTATCAATATCATGGTTCCGGACGGTAGCATTTCGCCCACCCTGTTCTGGCGATCGTCGACGATATTTGGAATATCCGTCATCGCTAATACATGTTTGAGTTTGGAACGCCTTCGGAAATTTTTTGCTGCATTTAGAATCTCACATACGTATCTAGAAGAGATCTCATCAAATCTCTGTCAATTGGCTGTGCAACACTTGAACCCCGCATAGATGCGTGTGTATCTGAATCTGCACTAAAATATATTTGCAGAAATTTGTGATCATCGGGACAAAGTGGTAGCAAGCTTCCAGCTAAGTGGTACACTTGCCCTTTGATTTTAAATGTAGGCATGAACCCACGCTCAACAACTTACTTACTCTTAAAAGAGGTCATTTGAAATGCGTTATTATAATGGCGTATATTGCGCATGAATTGTTTATATTTCTGATGATCACCCGTAAGAAGAGAGTGAAGTTCCTTGTAAGCAACACATGCCTTTCGATTTGTCCTTGAATTTCAATTCCAAGCAATGTTGACACACTACTGACATAGTACCTATTGATACTATACGATCGTCCTTGTAAGAAATCGAAGGATCGTAATTCATAGCAGAATTTTCTTTATTTACCCATGAATTAGTAACTCGTGCTGTTGATTCTCTGGCTCTATGTATTCGATGTCTATCCCTATCTCGGCTGCGGCGAACCTCACGCTCTACTGAAGATTCTCCCTCTCTCTCAGCTATGTATCTATCACCTCAGCCTCATGCTCTACTGACGATTCTCTGTCCCTCTGAACCGTATGCCTATCTCGATCCCGGCTGCGGCTAGCCTCGCGGTCTACTGAAGATTCTCTCTCTCTCTCTCATCAGCTCTATATCTATCCCGAGCCTGACTGAGACGAGCCTCATGTTCCGCTGACGATTCTTCATCTCGTGCTAAACGTACTCTTCTGGCATCTTCACTGTACTACGGCCCATGTTCGAATGACGACGTCTTCCAGACAAGACTTTATAATTTCTGTACAAAATGTACTCAGTTCTAAATGTATATAACCTATGCACAATCATAAAAAACAAAAGACACCTATTCTATTCAGTTCTTTTTTTTAACTGAAATACCTCAACTTAAACTACGATTTTACTAAGTATTGTTATTTTCCTCTCTAGAGAGCTCCGATAATAACCTCGTTCGATCGCACTAAATTCAAAGTTCTATAGAGAGAACCGCCGTCTCCGACGCGATATTTATACTCACGCTCCCGCCGCTCGACCGCCAGGTACCGCCGCAAACGCTACATCCCGCAATTTTTAAATCTGTAATATCTTCGAAAATATTCATTTTATTTTTATTCATTCATTTATTAATATTCATTTTTTATTTATTTAAGGTATTTAATTGGATAAGGATCACTGCTGTATTGATTAAAGTCGCTTCGAAGATTTGTTATTATTTGTTATAAAAAGTAAATGATAAAAAAATGTTATTGTGGGATATCCATAAGAGATAGACATATATCGCGGAGTTTACATTACATTATTTCGATAAATCTCGTAGGGTTCAGCTGTAATTATCTACGACATCACATTAGAATGTTTTATACATATAAACCTTCCTCTTGAAACACTCTATCTATTAAGACCGCATAAAACCCGTTGCGTAGTTTTAAAGATTTAAGCATACATAGGGATATAGGGACAGAGAAAGCGACTTTGTTTTATACTATGTATTGATATTAACGAAGCTATGTATATAAACTCCCTACATAAATTAAATTGACACTAAAAATTAATTTGTGCCAAATTTCGCACAGCAAATATTTATATTATAGTTTTTACAACCAAATTTTGAAGGCACATCGAAATACTTCATTCCCCTTTAATTTTTACAATTTACGAGAATAATTCATTTAAACTTCGCTTACAATTAGGAAAGCGATTACGATTACGCCTATAGGTGCACTAATTAGAAACAACCAGTTAATACAGTTCACGCACTAGGACTACTACTTCAACTCGTTCTAGTCAGTGGAAGTCTGCTAATATCCATTTTTTTATTTTATTATTTTATCTCATATACACTCTCAACAGCCCGCATGCCTTATCGCGATCAACAGTTGATGGAGGATGTCACTATTAATTGCGAAAGGAGGAAGCGAAGGAAATGGTAAACAAACAGCGTTTCCGTTATTATAGTATGTGTACAGATATACAAACATTTATAGCGAAATCTTAGACACTAAATTGCGTATGAGTGCTTCTTGGACCAAAACGCGTAGTTGCTTTAGCAACATCTCGCAACACGTTGCATAGAACACTGTTCACTTAACGGATGTCTGTAAAACCTAAAACTATTCGCGATAAATAGCTATAAACTTATATACAACCAAGTTATCAGAATGACGATACGAAATGAATAGAAGGATGTCTGTTCATCCGCCTCTTCATGCAAGCGGTAAATATAGTAAAAAATGTATGTACATATCTGAATGAAACATGATACACGTGTTCCCTGAGACTCAAGGGAAGGGACAAAATGCCGTTTCAAACTTGGTTAATTTGGTACAAGTAACAAGAACATAATAAATGTGGAGATGGGCCTCTGTATTTTAAAACTGTTCGAAAAGTAGTCATAGCCCCGTCGTCTGGTAGGGTTAGGATACATATCTCACAAGCTTTTCGAAATAAATCAACGAATCTTGGCGAAAACAATATGCTATAAAGATTTTCGAGCTTCCAGTCGACTTTATAGTACCAGCGCCACCGTTTCTGGAAGTAATATGTCTTGTTGTCAAAAATGAAAAACACCGATATGAAGCTAAATATAGTAATGAGACTAAGTAAACCTATGATCAATAATACAAGTTGATAATATACTAAATAATTGTGATTGTAATCCGTTAATCTTTTCGTCGAGTTGATATATCCTGGAGCTCATTTAATACTCGTATACGATAGTACTTGTCATTTATCGATTGTTTTTCTTTCACACAACTAGTCGGTTACACAACTAAAACAGAAAAGTAGTTATGTATATTTGATAACTATAATAATAGCAATCAATAATTATTATATCAATAAATTTATGTGAAATATTCCGGAAAATTATAAAAAAGGCATGTGCACATGAGACGTAAGATTTGCTCTACTCGAGTCGAATAAAATATCTACCCCCAAATTAAATGAAAATTAAATTTTTAAGTATTTTACAAATTTGATGATTTCTATACCATATACAGCATAAAGTTAACCGATAGGAGGAAATTCGTAATAAGAATAATAGGATGGGTAAAACAAATATCTTAATTTATGTGTTAGAAGCTTTACCTCCTCTTAATAATTCCTATCCATCGTTTGAAAGAAATCGGGAATATGGGAAGTAAATATTGTTGAAATAATGTGAAAAATGGAATCTGTTCTAGTACTCATTATATGAGATAGTTAGTTAATATTGTCATCATCACTTTAGTTTCATTTGGTGATGATGGCACTTGTTAGCGAATCCTCGTTATTTTAGCTTTTCGCGTGGGTAGTTAGAGATTGTGACTTTTGCTATAGTAAATGATGAGATGAAGAAATACCACGTCGGGATAAAATGATGGTTTTTCACGAGAACTTCTTTTTGGAACCCAGACAATAGCATACATTTGGACTGGGTCCGAATCTTTTATATTTTAAGATATTTATAATGTATCTTATTCGTCTTTAGTACGCTAAGTATAAAGCTTTTTCTTTTCCTTTTTAAAAGAAACTTTAAACAAAGAGATTTTGCAGCAATTTCTGCTATAAGCGATACTCTATGCATATCGGTCTATAATAGTTGTGAATCGATTCCTAGCTACGTACATACATTTGTCTGCATTATTCCTTCTGAAGCTTTAACGCTATTGTAAAAGAAGTTGCCAATTTTAGTACCGACCGCACACCAAACCAAATGCGATGCTGACCAACGTGTTGTCACACGTTGTGCGACTCAGCTACAAAGCTTGTTGGTGTCGCCCATTTATCTCCATAAATGTTTACCGCGAAAACATTTTTGCGGTGCAATAACCACTCGCCTTTCGGTAGTGTATCCTTTCAATAAGCCTCGATTCGTTATCAATGTATATATATGTACATTTATTGTATATAAATATACATTGTACATACCGCTTGCTTGCTGAGAAATAAAATTCAGATACATAATATGCGAAAAAGTCATGTATTACTGTTATTATGATTTTCACATCTAAATCCCAAGATGTTAGACCTAATCCTACTTGCTATATACGAACCGATCTCGTACGATTTTAAGTCTTTGGGAATGTTTAATAGAATCAAACATAAGGCAATACTGTTTTTAAAAAACTGACAGTACCGTCAACCAAATCCTGTTAATTGCCATAGCTTTCAAACTGTAGACAAACTCATCAAACTTTGAATGAAAATCAGCATTGACTGCGACCTGAAAATATTCAAGTGTTATAATCCCCTGATATTCGAAGATCCATAGGAGATTGACAGCTTACTTGGTGCTTCTAATTAGCACCAACTTGGCCATTTAATGTGAAAGCCAATACTTTTTATAACTAACAAACTTTTACTCAAGATGTAAACTCATTTGCTAATTTTGCTTTTAAGCTGAAAAATTCCGATCCTGTTGCACAAATTTGTAATTTTTCTAAAATAGTGTGACATTTCATGGGAACTCACCCAAAGATCAGTTTAACAACTCATTGCTCTAATTACCCGCTTTTATTTCATATATATGTATGAGCGGAATAAACCATCTTCATGCATATTTGCATATCCAAATATGATAAACAGGTATGTATATATGTACGCATATAACCTCCCGCTTTTAAAAGTTAACACCAAATTATTGCCTCGACTCATTTTGGTTCATGAAAGTTGTAGTTACGCGTTAAATATTAAAACAAAAATAAAGAAAATATTTGACTGAAAAGACTAAAATATATGCGCATACATACGTATGTATGGTATATATATAAAAACAAGAAAAATCGTTAACTTCGGCTGCACCGACGGCATTGTACCCTTCACAAATAAAAAGGATTCCATACAAGAACTTGAATCAAATGTAGCTTCTTGGGGAGAAAAGGACGTATGGAAAATTTCAGATCGATATCTCAAAAACTGAGGGACTAGTTCACATATATACCAACGGACAGACAGACAAGGCTAAATCGACTCAGCCCAATTCCTTCTGGGTGTTATAAACTTCGTGGCAAACTTAATATACCCTGTTCAGGGTATAATAATGCAAAGTTAACAGAACTGGGCAACGTAGAATGCCGAGCGCTTGAATAGAGCTGCGCACATGGCCAAAAAAGTGAACTTGTAAATGACGTGAATATTTGAATAACGTGAGAAGTTTTTTCATAAAGCCAACGGAAAGCACCAGAGGTGTTGAGAACACAAGTTAATATCCAAAATTCAATGCGCTTCATAAAAAATATCCATTATGGCAATTAGTGTTAGGGATGGAAGGGAGAGCTCTGAATTATCCAATATTAAAAAACTTGGGCCACGGCGACGTTAAGCGATTTGAAACGAAAATCGAATTGCTCAAAAGCAGATATTGACACTTATTTCTGTGCTGTTGTCGTTGTGTACGCCACCTGGAACTGACATTAAAAATTTGTAATTGCTACACACAAAAAGTTCGCGTTAATTAGAAATATGTGCATGTTGGCTTTAAACCAAATTTAAATTGATTTAATGCAAACATTCTTCAAGTCAGCAACACGTACTTATGTAGTACATACCTGTGCATGAATATATGTATATCAATCAAATTATTATTGTACTCACTCATCTACTGAAAGATTTCCAGCCTTTTTCAAGAGTATTATATTAATTTAATTTAGTTAGTAAGTTTTGGTTACAAAATACATACACATAAATTAAAGTGAATCCAAACATCTTATAGTTTTTAGAATTGGATAATACCTTCTATTAATTCGCAGGTTTATTACGAAATATGGAATATCCACTAAGAGATCAAGGCATTCTTTCACTATCTTTGATGATACTCTAAGAGACTTTAGTGATTTCAAAGCCGCTTGACTATCTGTATATATAAATATGTACGTACATACCTATGTATATTTCTTGTGGTGAGCATACTCATTGTCATAACAATAAGTAGTCCGGTTAAATTAGACCAAAAATGAGAGTGAAGTTACATAAATTCACAACAAGCTGAAAATTGGTGAGATCGTTTAAAGTATAATTATAAATAAAATTTAAAATTTACCCGTTTTTCCCCTGTATGGAAAAAATTCTATTCAAGGTCAAAGATCAAAAATATGATTTTTCTGCGATTTTTTGTGATTTTCAGCAAAACGGTAAGTTGAAGTTATAGAGGTTTTCAAGTTACCGATGTTTGAGTTATCGAGATCCTACTGTATATGTTTAAATGTTTTTCTATCGAATATTATAACTCACACTTAAAATATAAGATATACATAAGCAATAATTATAAGAATATCAGGTAGAAAGAAACCCAAAAGTTGCCATAAAAATTATACTAGGAAGTCTTCTATTGCTGCCGCTAATA